CGGCACGCTTTTCATCATATTCCACCTCTTCGGAACACCTAGTGAATTTTTTCCCGCAATATAGTTCTCGTTCGTTGAACGAAAACTCCCGAGAGTAGTAGACGTCACAATAGCCTGGTTGACGTCACAAAACTGATGACAATGTGTTGAACAAAGGGTTTTATAGTAACTTTACGTTAACAATGAAAGTGGTGCCGAATTTGAAAGTTTATGTTTATTTCAAAGGCTTTGCTTGTTTCGGTATAATAAACAATTCATTGCATGAATGTTCGGGAAACATGAAGACTTATTCAGCCAAGAAATATCATATTCCCCTCGGGCGAAGCCCTCGGGGAATATGATTTTCTTGGCTGAATAAGTCTTCATATTTCCCTCACTATCATGCAATAAATGTATAATATATTGCAATTCCATTACGTATAAATGCTTGGTCACCATATGCCATATTTTGCCTGTATATTATAAATAAGACCAAAATAGGTCTGTGTCATGAAACAGCACGTAAAATGATTAAAAATACAATTAAAATTTAAAAATAAAAAGTTTAAATTTCTCAAAAAAAAGTATATTTTTGGTAAATTATTTATGTAACTTAATATTTGAAATACAAATGTATAAAACACTATAACATACAATGTATATCCTATTTGTCAATCTGAAATATTTTCTCTTGTGCAATAAAAATTAACCTTAAAATACTTTCGATAATCATGACAGTTATTGATCTGAATTGATGGTGATTGATGTTTTGCTTGAAGATGATCTGAATCAATAAAATTTGACCCTGTGAGTTTAGATATCATGGACCAAGTTTATAAAGTTAACTTACTGCTTTGTCATTGCTTTCATTTAGAGAGAAATGCGACAAATTTTCAATTCGAATATTTGTTGAAAACTATTCTGATATTTGACATGGTACAGAGATGTTATTTTTGTCATGCCACTTTTATCAGCAGCTGTTAAAGTTAGTCAATATTAGGGAATAATATCAAATTCAAGAAAGTTATTTTGACAGGTTCATCATGGGGAACTGGAAGAGTTGGCCTATCTGGTTCCTGCTGTTTGCCTACATATTTTTTGTCAGCACACTTATCCTGAACTTTATCCAGCTTTTGACACTTGTGATATGGCCGTTTGACAAAACCCTCTTCAGAAAAATCAACTACTATCTGGCATATGCCTCATGGTGTCGTAAGTACATGGAATATATAAATTGAAAGTTGAAATAAATAATAATGGGAGGAAATATTGTTGAATCAGTATATTTTTCTTGAGGTTCAATTTTCATAAATTTTGTGGGTACTGTATATACGGTATAATACCGGTATTTGCCTATAAGTCGGTAAGCCTATAAGTTGAATGTATATTTGAAAATAATATTAGAGGGATTCAACTGCTAAAATACCATTCTTTTTATAACTGGCCTATAAGTTGGACACAGAGTTTTAGACCAAAGTTTAACTCCCAAAAATCGGACTCATAGGTGAGTATATATGGTAGTCCTTGCCAGCAAATTTGTAATCTCTGCCAATATTGATGTTTTAACTCAAAAGACATGCACCATTCACTCGCAGACTGCTCAATGTTCAAGTAGGAAAGATGAGCATTGAAGGAGCAACCCTTTGTTTAAGAAATTGCATACCCTTAAACTGAAATTTTTTAGACAAGTATTCCTCATACAGAATTAAAAATTACAGAATATCTGTTATTTTTTATCAGAGTTTACAAGTGTTGGGCAATGGTGGGCAGGTTGTGAATGTGTGTTACACATGGACCCAGAGGAGAGAAAATATCTAGGTCGCGAGCACATCATGGTCATCATGAACCACAAATACGAGATAGACTGGCTGATGGCCTGGATTCTATCAGAAAGATTGAGAATGCTCGGGGTAAGCTTAAGGTTTACTGAGCGTCTGACAAGAGAGATAACTCTCCTTGGTATTACATGACTATAAATCCTTCAGATAATTTTCAAGTTAAGAGATAATATATAACAAATTTTGTAATGTAGGGCATTTTGAAGTTGCTTGAAATTACCAGTTTAAAACTGCCCTGTGAATGTCAATGCAATTGTATCACTAAAGAAAAAAAATGAGTGAATGGAAGAAAGATGACCTTAAACATTAACTTCTTTACTGGAAAATGATACAGACCTGAAGTGAGTTGGAAGTCCCAACTACTTATAATTATTCTTTGAGTATTTACCCCTGATTTCTCAAATACACTGATATATTTAAGTTTTTTCTCAGATCCAACAAGTGTGAGATAACGAGGTTTGACTGTAGTATCCATTTTCAGCAATACACTGTAGAAAAACATCAATTTTCTGTTTCAGACCACAAAGATCTACGGAAAGAAGGTCCTCCAGTTCATTCCTCTGATTGGCTGGGCCTGGTGGTTCACGGAGTCACTGTTCCTAAAGAGAGACTGGACGAAGGATAAAAAGATAATCCAGGATGGAGTCCGGACAGCCATGGAATATCCAGACGACTACTGGGTCACTGTAAGTAATGTACTCAGTTTAGTCAGTAAGAGAATAATCATGGATTAAATGCATTAGATAACAATATTATGCCCCCCCCCCCTTTCGTATTGCTTTGCTACTGTTTGTTGATCAGTCCACCTGGTTTTCGCTCCTTTTCTGCACAGCGGTTGCACATACTGAAATGATATATTCATTTTTACACAGATTTATCCTAAGTATATATACCAGGTAGGTCAAGTTCTGTTTTGGGTACTATATTTAGCAATTTTTGACAGAGATATGCCCTTGAATTTTGAAAAATTACCATAATTTGAGGGAGGGGGCATAAGTTTTTCACAAACATCTCTTGTGTAGTCTATAGTGATGACACATACTTCATTAAATATTTGTAACACTGTTGTAAACCATGTCATTTTGGCAAAAGTTACATTCATGCTATTGATAAATTTTTTTTTGAACATTTCCGCAAGATCTCATGACATTATTGAGGAGGAATTTCTGATTTGATTATTTCTTAGTTAAAAAAGGAAAGCATTTCACACAACACACTCTCTCATATATTATACTGAAATGTGATTGTAAAAAGAGATTTTTGATTTCTCTTTCATTCATTTCTAATCAGCTGCTGCTCTTCCCAGAGGGAACAAGGTTAACTCCCCAGAAACTGGAAAACAGCCAAATTGTTGCCAAGGAAAAGGGATACCCAATAATGAAACACCATCTTCTACCAAGGCCAAAGGGTTTTGCTTACTCTATACAGGAGCTGAAAGGAAAATGTATGTACCTAATGTAAATAGATGATATCTATACATGTACACTGGTAGTGTTATTTGATATAAGCATTATCCAACAAGTTGAAATGATGTAAATATTAGCAAGGCTTCCCGACCATGTATATGTATAAACAATTTCAACGAGTTGGATAAAGCCAATATCTAATACACGTGTAACACAATAAGAGAAATTCTATTTATCTTCAATATCTTGTACAATTTTTTGCTTTTAACAAAACTTTGATATTACCCCTGTGAAACTAAATGAACAGTATTTGTCCAATCTGGTGACACAAAACTTGATGACGTTTTTGTTGTTGCACTGTTGATGTTGACCTGCCTTGAAAGAAAGTATTTAATGTACCGGGTAACAAATATTAGATCTTTGCCATCTTTGTCTTTGAAAAAAGCATGACAAATGCTGGAACGTTATTTCAAACAAACTTTTGACTGAAAGTTTTAAGGTTCAAGGGATCATGAATTTTACTCTGAATTCATTATTTGTATGGTTACAGTACAAACTGTGTTTGCAGAAATGAGTCACAAGAATTCCAAGTAATATTATACAGAGTATGTACTTAGCAAGCATTTTTGTTTGTTTTTCAGTGAATGCAGTGTACGATGCTACAGTGGTGTTTGATGAGGGGTATCCCTCTCTAATGGACGTGTTAGAAGGGAAGAAGATAATGAGCAGAATCCGAGCCAGGTATACAAGCTACACAAATATTTAAAATCCAGAAATATATATGTCACAATAGCTTACAGATTATACTTTTAATCTAACATATTCTAGTATCAAGTATGACATGACCATTACCACCATTTTTTCCATTGTTGATGTTCATTATGTACATATGTATACTGTAGAAGTACTTTTTTCTGCGTGGTATTAATTTACGCTATGTACGCGGTCACAAGTTTTCCGCAGAAATTTGTCCAAGTGTACTTGACATAAATGTAAGGCATTTAGTGACAATCTAGAAAACCTGCGTAATTTTCTACCCTTGGATTAAACAGAAATTGAGATTCTGTGGAATTATGACCCCGTGGAAAAAAGTATGTCTACAGTATATTAAATAAGCAAGTTTATTTCCTTCAAAGAAGCCAAAATGAATACTAATTGAAAGTAAATCTATATAATGACAAAACATTGAAGAATGCTGTATCTGTATTATCATTATGTATATATCATTTTGTTAAGGCGGCATGTGGTTAAGGATCTACCAGACTCAGAGGAAGAACTCTCTGATTGGCTGAGGAATCTATTTAAAGAAAAGGTACTGAACAAAATATTCCTACGTGTGCTAGAAATATGACTAAATCAAATTAAAATGCCATCAAAACATCTTACACTGAAACCCAATCTCTATGTCATGAATCTCAAAATAAGAAACTGTTAAATTGAGATACATTCTGTTTATAAAAGTGTAAAATTTTGTATAAATTTTAATTGTTGGTGAGATTTGTTCAAAATCTGTCTCTAAAATATTAAATACTGCATGGCAAGAATTTATTAATCAAATATTAAGATGTGCACATTTTTTTTACCTATCAAATGTTTATGTACAAATTTACATTGATTTACATGTATGATGAAAGTATTGATATGTAAAAAGTTTTTAATCCAAATTTTGGCGTAATAGTAGAGGCAAAAAACTATGTTATAGAGTATTTCAATTCAGCAATTGTGCTGAGAAGTAATTTTAGTGTCTGCTTGTGCTCAGAATGATATATATGATTTGTTTTTCAGGATGAAGTAGTAGAAAAGTTTTATCAAACCAAAGAGCTGGATCGACCAGGATTCTTAATACCAAAACGTTATACTGACCTAGTCGTTCATATATTCTGGATCATTGTGACACTTGTGCCATTATTTTTTTACCTAGTCAATGTACTCTTTTATGGAAGTCTTCTTCATAAAGTTACTGTAGTCCTAGTATTTGTTTCAGGTAAGTTGACTTCATTTGTTTGGGTACTGGGTAGTTATTTACATTCTACTGGTTTCATATAAAATTTGTTGAATGACAATGTTTATTATTTCATCCATAAATTTCTTGTCTGCAGTAACGACTTTATAGATTTATAACTACCTGGCATTTACTGATAAATTGTAAAAAATTTCATATGTTTTATATTTTGCATACATGTATGTAATTTATACCTTATATCTCTGACAAAAAAATCAGATTTCATTAGGGCTAAGTAATTATGTCCTTATATAAAGTCATGTAATTTTGTGACTTCCCAAGCATATAATTATGCAATACTACATGTATGTGTAATACTAAGGATACATATCATGATATTGAATCAGAGGATTTGTTTCCTTTCAGTAAATTTACTGGCTAAGTTCATGATTGGATTTACTCAGCTGGAGAAGGGGTCATCATATGGAAAACAGATAACCAAACGGAATAAAGATTCCGAGAAAGATACTTCATATGATAAAGACACTGCCAAGGAGAAAAAAGCTTCATAATATTCACTCATATACTAGTTAATTACTCATTAATTTTAAAATGTTCAATCATTTTTTATGACTATTTATTTATTAGGTGAAATATCCAAAATTTCTTAATAATGACCTTTTTTTAACCAAGTGTATGTTTGTAACTGGTTTTATTTTAATATCATTTCATTCTTGGTTGTCCTACCAAAGTAAAATATTTACAAGCAAAACACCAGTGTATATACATGTCATATATTTATTTCATTGTGTGTTGCAGTGTACATGTAGCATTTTTCCCCTTCAACCATCTTTAATTAATATAAAAATGTTTGCTTCCCCTCTCGGACTTAGGGAAAAATTATTGGGTAGGTAGGTAGGTGAGGAAATTTAATTCATTCCAGAAAATGTCAACATAGAAGAGGAAAAAAATAAAGAAAATCATGTCCAAGAATGTAAAAAAAAGTTTGGAGTCAGGTCATTTAATCAGTCACTAAGACAACTGGGAGAGGGGAATCAAACATTTTTTGAAAATGGATTTATCATGTATTTTAGTACCCCCCCCCCCCCCCCCTTGATTAATGAAAAATAGTTTTTTTCAAAAGTTTAGTGCGATGTCTGTATCATTCTATTTATATCATTCAAATAAAAAATTCATGATGGTTAAATTTTCATTCCATCGTGGAATTACACAGACCAAATTGCTCTAGCTTCATTTTAGTTTTTGTTTAGTTTTTGTACCTAAATGTATTTAGTTTTTTTTTCATACATGTAATGGTAAACAAACACTTTTTTGTGATTCAATCAGTTACCAAACTAAATTTACATACAGTGTATTCCCTTTATTTCAAAGATAAGGGTTAGACATCAATTGTAATAGACTAAGAGTTGATTTTTATGAACAAAATCTCTGTGGACATTTGAACAAATATTTTTAAATATTATTTCAAAGCATCATTTCTTAAGAGCTAGATTTGACAAGTAGCTGATTCATAGGAAAAACAGTGCTTAAATTGTAGCCTAGTATGTATTTTAAAGTCTTTGTCAGCTAAATAAGAATTATATATTGTTTTTTTATAAACCAATTAAATTGTATATGAATATCTATACTCTGTGATGTTCATTTTTTTATGAGCAATTGTACAATCACTAATAATCTTAAAATGTCTGACTTTGATCCAACAAGAGAAGGATTTTGCTTGAAATAAAAAGAACAGATGTACGTGTACATGTATTTTATTGATCAGCATTTAAAAATACAGGATTTAAAATTACCAGGCCTTATGTACTTTCCTTTAATATAGTTTTTAATTTATTTACATTTTCTATATTTTTTATTCATGTTGAAGCATTGTGATATTAATTTGTCTACCAGGGTTAGCATTTTAATCATTCTCCTTTTAGGAAGTTTATATAATTTTCTGTATGTAAACTTCTAAAATTGATATATGACCATGAAAATAAAACTAAATGCACTCATAAGACCATCATCGGACACCCACGGCTGATTACGCTTCGTTCCTCTCTCCATCATGAGGAACGAAGCATAATCAGCCGTGGGTTTCCTATGATGTCATAAGACAGTTGTACCTGCATGTAAATGATTGCCCCTTAGTGTTTGTTACCTTTCAGGGCAATGAAGAATTCACAAAAATTATTATAACTTAATAAATTTATGTAAAATATGTGTACTTTTTGAGAAAAAAAGAACATATTTCCATGAACCTGTTATGTTTATACATTTATTTCAATACATTACATTATAAAGATAACTTTTTAGAGATGCAATTTTCACTGGAATATAGCCAAGTTGAGTAGCTTCAATCAATCAATAGTAAAAACTTACTAAAAAAGAATAATGATTTTTTCACATCAGTTTCATTTCTTACCAAAACCAAACTAGTGCTAATTGTAACGAGAACCGTTACAGATGTTCCCCAATCTCCCCAACTCCCTGTCGGTGCCATATTCCCTGTAAGCTTCATTAAATAAGACAAACTCTGTGCATTTTTGACTTTAACAACTTTTTCCCAGAAGGATACCAATTATATTCAATTTTTAGCATTGCACCCAAGCGCATGTGAATGCATGTGCGTTATGACCATATCATCTTGTCTACACTATTTATATATTTTAATATACTATATATTAAAGCATTCAGTCCAAGAGTAATAAAAATCACTCATTCAAGAGTATTTTTAAATATACTCGTTTCAAATGCACGCACGTGCGTGCACGTGCATGATGATCATACCTTCTTGTAGGAGTCCCTTACATCTATCTATGTTCTAAATCCCATCCTGTTTGGTTGAAAAACAAGGGAGTTATAGCCATTTAAAGTTTCAGCCAATCAGACTGCAGCACACGTGCATGCGCGTGATTTCATGATTTTTTTTCTATATCATTTTGTAGGATATCCTAGTGCATGACTATATTTTGAATTTCAAAGAATTTCGTCAAAAAACAAAGGAGAAATAGCCATTTAAAGTTTCAGCCAATCAGATTGCAGCACACGTGCATGCGCGTGATTTCATGATTTTTTTTCTATATCATTTTGTAGGATATCCTAATGCATGACTATATTTTAAATTTCAAAGAATTTCGTCAAAAAACAAAGGAGAAATTACCATTTAAAGTGTTAGCCAATCAGCTTGCAGCATGCGCACATGCGCATGCTCACATGAAAATTCTTATATATCATGCGGTAGATCTTTATAATGTAGGACTATGTTCAAAATTTCAAAGGATTATGACAAGAAACAAGAAAGTTATTGAGACTTTAGTTTCAGCCAATCAGAGCGAAGCGCACGTGCATGCGCGTGAGATCTTGCTATTTTGACCATGCTATCTTGTCTATACTACTAATGTATTCTTACATTATGAGTTACAAAAAATTTCATCAAAAAATAGTAAAGTTACGGCAATATCCATTATATTGGTAGTTTCACATGTTGCACGTGCGCGCTCTTGCAAGCACGTGCGCGCAAAATGACCTTTGTTTGGCAACTCTACATAACATGCCTACTGACCCTAAAAAGGTTTCACCTAAGTCGGATGTGTAGTTTACAAGATCACTCGTGGACAAAATTTTCCCAGGAAGAAGAAAAATAATAATAAGAATAACTAGTGCTAATTGTAACGGGGACCGTTACAGATGTTCCCCAAACGCTCCCCAACTCCCTTTTGGTGCCGTATTGCCTGTAAGCTTCATTAATGAAGACAAACTTTAGACTTAAATAACATTTACCTAGAAGTGTACCAAGTTCATTCAAATTTTAGCAATGCACACGTGCGCATGTGAATGCATATGCGTAATGACCATATCATCTTGTCTACACAATCTATATATTATTTATACTAAATAATAAAGTATTTAATCCAAAAGTTTTTAAAAATACGCTCATTCACGTGTCTATTTTTGATTTTACATATTTCACGTGCACGCACATGCATACACGAGCATGGTGATCATACTTTCTTGTAGAAGTCAATTACATCTAATATCTATGTTCTAAATCCCACCCCGTTTGGTTGAAAAGCAAGGAAGTTATAGCTGTTTAAAGTTTCAGCCAATCAGATTGCAGCGCACATACACTCACGTGTATGCATGTGCATGGTGTCCATATCTTCTTGTAGAAGTTTATTATATCTATCTATGTTCCAAATCTCATCCAGTTTGGTTGAAAACCAAGGGAGTTATAGCTAGTTAAAGTTTCAGCCAATCAGATTGCAGCGCACGTGCATGCACGTATTTCCATAATAATTGCTATATATCATGTTGTAGGATATCCTAATGCATGGCTATGTTCAAAATTTCAAAGAATATCGTCAAAAAACAAGAAAGATATTGAGACTTTAGTTTCAGCCAATCAGAGCAAAGCGCACGTGCATGCGCGTGAGATCTTGCTATTTTGACCATGTCATATTGTCTATGCTACTAATATATCCTTATATTATGAGTTTCAAAGCATTTCATTGAAAATTGAAAAAGTTACGTCTATATCAATTATATTGGGCATTTCTCGTGTTGCACGTGCGCGCTCTTGCAAGCACGTGCGCGCAAAATGACCTTTGTTCGGCAAATCTACATAACATGTCTACTGACCCTAAAAACATTTTACCTTAGTCAGATGTGTAGTTTACAAGATCACTCGAGGACAAAATTTTCCCAGGAATAATAATAATAACTAGAGCAAAGCTCGTTGCAAAGCAACGAGTAGGTCTTCCGTCCGGTTTTGACCGGAAGTGCCGGAAGTAACGGAACAAAAGAAAGCAGTGAGCTAAGTAGTCTCCTGTGACTTTATAATTTCAATTTTGCATCAAATCCTTCAAAATAAGCCATTTTTCTACTTCCGGTTTACTGGAAGTGACAACGAGGGGCGGAAAAATTACTTTTTATGCTCCCAGAGACATATGTAACCCAAAAACTTGTCAAGAACGGCAAAAAAACACGTTTTTCGACTACTTCCGGTATGACCGGAAGTGACGACGACGGACGTATTTTGACGACTCCAATAGATAGAGCTTGACATTTGAAACAACTTTGCTTCTTTGATGTATTACAAATTCTCAATACTTTTTGAGATATAAAAGAAAATCTTTCGGCCCCTCTAGGCCCCTAATATTAGGTGCCAGCCCTTTTTTCGAGATATCATTTGAAAGATCTTGATATTCTACACTTCTTTTGTTCTATATGTTTTAACAAAATATTTGCAGGTAAAAAGATATTTAGAAAAGGTGTCAAAAATTTTGAAATTCGCGATAGGACTTTTTTCGGGCCATAGCGAGCGCCGTCGTGCAGCACTTCCGGAGAAAAAGAGTGGTATATGTCACATCAGCACATGTTGCTCTATCATCGCTGAAAATTTCATGCTTCTGTGTTAAGTGCTTTTTGAGAAAACTGCCGGACAAAGTGACCCTCTGAAAATCACTAAATCGCAAAAATCTAAAACCGGAAGTGACGTCATCAAAACAAAAAATTATATATCAGGTTTGTTTGATGTTCTATCATTCCTGAATGTTTCATGAAAATCGAGCCAGCCGTTTCCGAGAATTCGCGTGCACAAAATCGGTAAGAAAAAAAAACAATAATAATAAAAATAGTGGAAAAGAAACCTAAGAATAACAAGAAGGTCTTCCGCTGAAGACGGAAGACCTTAATAATATTAGAGCAAAGCTCGTTGCAAAGCAACGAGTAGGTCTTCCGTCCTGTTTTGACCGGAAGTGACGTCAACAAATGAAAGCAAATGAGCTAAGTGGTCTCCATTGACTTTATAATTTTTATTTTGCATTTAAACCTTCAAAAATAAGCTATTTTGGGCTTCTTCCGGTCATTTCCGGTTTGTTCGGAAGTGATTTCAACGGACAGAAAATTATGTTTTATGCTTCCAGATACATCTATTACCAAAAATATGTCAAGAAAGGCAAAAATATGCATATTCTGACGACTTCCGGTATGACGGAAGTGACGTCGCCGGACGCATTTTGTCGACTCCAATAGATTAAGCTTGACATTTTGAACAACTTTGCTTTTTAAACGTATTACAAATTCTCAATACTTTTTGAGAT